CAGTGCCCGGCCTCTTGGATTCTGCCCATTAAAAGTTAATAGATGTTTTAGTCGTGAGGAGTATATGATCCAGTATCAGCGTGCTGTTGCTCTGATATTTCATCTCTCAAAAAAAAAGGCTGTTGGGTGTGCCCCCGTCCAGGACCCACGAAGAGGCAGCCCCAGCGTTGGGCCCCTGCGCTCACAGGGTCTCCGTGCTCCGCGGCAAACAGACTTCTGATGGACAGAAGGAAGTTAACGTGGGTGTATCCTGGGGGATGTGTGTGTGAAATGAGAAATCTGGTTGTTTACGAACTTTTTAGGTGAATGAATTTTATCTGAAAAAGTGTTTTACTTGAGAGAGCACCCCCTGACCGCTCCCCCCCCCGCCCCCACTGCAGGCGGCCTGCCGGAAGCCCCGAGCCGCTGGGGGGACTCGCCGGGAGCCCCTGTGGTGGTGCCCACGGCCTGGGGCCCTCGGAGTGCAGTTGGACTGTCCGTCCCCTGGGCTGCAGAGGGGCTTCTTAGATTTCTCACGGACTCGGACCAGCGTGAGCGGAGAGGCTGTAGATGCGATAGCGGTGTTGTGTCACAGGGTGTCAGGTCACACGGTTCTGCGCGTGAGCATCCCCCGCAGCGCCGGCTGTGATTGAAGGTCGGCCGGGGCTTTATCGGTCGTGCAGGAGCGCTCGTCTTGTGCACAGACGGGCCACGGAGTGTCCACGCGCGAAGCGTTTGAGTGTGCCCCGCGTCAGCGCGAGGCCCTGGGGAGCAGCGCCATCAGTCGGCCCCACTAGTGGGGTTTGCTTCGCTGAAATGTGGGAAGTCCCGAGGTAGAAATTTGTTAGTTCGTTTTTTGGAGTTTACTTGAGTAAACTGATGTACATAGGAACTAACAGTTGATGGGGTGGTTGGGACCCTCTTCAGAGTATTTGTGAGAGAACTGTATTTAATACCTTGTTTTATCTACTTTAAAAAATCTGTAATGAGGATCCGAGGATGCTGGCATGTGGTTGACAGTTCAATTTGAAAGAAGCCGATACTGTCACTTGGGGTCTTTGTAAGTTGAAGGTAAAGTGACACTCACTGAGCCCCTGCCCGTTGTACTGGGCGGTATCACACGCTCTCTGCGTGCTAGTGATCCCTCGTTAAGCCCTCAGGGGCTGGGTGGGGGTCGGGTGTGAGGGTGAGTCAGGCGAGGCCCATGGCTTGCTCTGGGGCTGCAGTCCCGCCGTCAGGCAGGGACAGAGTCCGGACTCCCCGCGCTCCAGGGGCCCTCCGTCCACCTCCTCGGCCGTGCCACCGGCCCCTGCAGGCCGCCAGAGGGTCAGGGGGCCTGCAGCCCCTCCGGGACCAGGCGGTGCAGTGGGCTTCCTCTGGGCCCACGGTGCTGGGCCCACAGCGCCAGGCGGGGACTGTTTGGGCCGCCCTGTGCGGGTGCAGTGTTCAGGTCCACTCGCAGCCGCGGTGTCGTGTGGGCACTCTTAGGGTCTCTATTACATGGTGGACCTAGGTATTAGGAGAAAGATGTTAGATTTGGTCGTTATTACCAATTATAATTTGATTCTGTTATCTGTAGGAGTTTAGCCACTGATTTAAATTTGGTCTTACCTGTTTTCCTCTCCAGTTGTTCAGACACAGCAATACGTATATTTACCTGTTGGGATTAATTCTTTAGTTGGAATTTAATTCATCCAAGTACCTGAAAGAGCACCAAATTGTATTTAATTCTGTGGAAAATTGTCAATAAAACATTACTTTTTGAGAAGGAAGCCTCTCTCTTGGGTGTGGATGGGAGTTTGCTGGTTCAGAACACCCCTGAGTTCGAGATTTGGCGACGTCTCTTCTGTCTCTTGTCACTGGGGGACCGTGTTCTTTATACATCCTCCAGATAATTCCTCCCATTGTGGAAGCACTTGTTTTCCTGAAAGTGTGCTACGGAGGAGCCGGCCCACACACCTAGCCCTCCACCTGCGGCCTCACATTTCTCACCTGAGAGTGTTCCTTGAATTGTGAGCCAGCTCAGTCCTAGAAATAAAAACCAAACTAAACTCCATTTTAGCCAAAGACAAGACGTTTCCATGTATGTTCTTCCCCAGAGTAAAGGTCTCCGGACAGTGTTCGCTTCACAGTTGGCCCTCCGCATCCACAGGTTCACCCAGCCGCAGGGTGAGAGTATTTGGGGAAGAGACCCCAGAAAGTTCCAAAAGGCAGAACTGGAGTTGCCACCCCACGAGCACTGTGCTTGGTCCCCATGAGCAAAGTCCCATGTGGGCACATGCCCAGTAGCCTTTCTGCAAAGGTAGGTCGTCACGTGCAGATGCGCCGCACATGGTCCTGGAAGCCGTCGCCCCAGATGCCCACCGCGGACAGCGGTCGCGGAAATGTTTGCTGCTTTAAAAGGAAGAGAAGAGTATTTCAAACATGCTGTATATGTTGTTTGGAATAATTTCTAAGGAATGCACAATTCACCTCCTAAAGGTCTGAAGTTTAGAATTTGAAATATTTTATAGTATTTTATATTTTTCTGCAAGGTAAATTGACCTATTTTTGGTGTTGTTTTGTTTTTCCAGTCTTTACCAGGTGCTGGTCTCTGGATGTTTTTTGTTTAATTCGAAAAACCTTAAGCCTGCCCACACACTGGTACGGTGTCCAGACGGGACTCTCGGCAGTGGCTTTGCAGGGCTTGAGGAGGCCTAGGCGGAGAGCGTGAACTCCGCCTCTGGCTGGTGCTGCCACCCCTGCTGCTCTCCGGGGCAGGAGGCCTTTCCTCTCTCGCCCTGTTCCGGAGCAGCGAGGGAGGGTGCACCTAGTGTGGGAATTCCGTTAGTTGGAGCGCTTACCTTATCGGGGAGCGGAGCAAAGCTGATGTATCTGACCTGAACCGCCCTGGGCCATGATAATCAAGGCCACTGACACTAGCAGTGCTTCAGTGACCAGAAGAGGAAGTGCTTGCTCTGCTTCTCACAAAAAGCTGCTGCCACAACCCTCCCCTCCCCCCCCCCAATAAAAAAACACTCTGGGCGTTTGGCCCTTCTGGGGGAAGCTCACTGCCTGCCACTGCCGTTGGGAACAGTGGCACCTGAAAGGGCCCCCTGACCAGTGCGCCAGGCTCCCCTGTGTAAGCCGGACCAAGGCCACGGGGACCGCGAGGGCGTTGGGTTGCTGGAGAGAGGGCTGAGCTGAAGGCTGGGCCCCGCCGCTGCTGCCGCGGGGCTGGGCTGGGACGCGGGACCGGCCATCCAGCACTAGAAAGGCGCCCTTGACAGTCCTGTTCATTGGGCGTCTGATCAGACTTCTGTAGAAGTGTCCTAGTATTTTTTCAGAAACCAGCAAGTTTTTTTGGTGGGGGGTGGACAGAAATCTGACCACCTCTAGGACCAGGCAAGTGCGAAGTGTGATGTGAATCCCAGCTCGCAGTGTGTGGCAGCTTCCTTAATGCCTGTCGTTGACACTGGCTTTTAAGACGAGGGATTTTTATCATTTCTTGATATGGTTATTGTAGTGCTTTATGCTTAAAAAGGGCATAAAGATGGGACCGACTTTTTCTGTCGAGCAGCTTTATGAATTAGACCTATTAAGCTAATTTGGCAGGGCATTGAGCGTCAGGCTGTATTTTCAGCTCCATTCCCAGCCAGTGAAAGGTGTGTGTTTTAGTTTTTAGTACTGTGGTCTGTGTTGGACAGTTTTGAAAAGAGGTAGCTTTAGTATCATTTATAGGACTTAAATTTGCTCCTGATTTTTAAAGAAAATGCCTAGATTCATCAAAAAGCATGTGCTTTGTCAAGCATAGAAAAACACTTCACTGGAGGCTGCTTATGTGGAAGGCTGTGGTTTGAATAACAATGGTGCATGTTGATCTGTCGGCTACACTTACTATTAACTTTGAAGATTCAGAATTTGTCTCTTTTCCAGGTGAAAAACCATCAAATTCACAAACTTGTTTTTAGGTAAATTTAAATGTTTTGCAGGGTGATTTTCTTAACCCAGGCTGAAAAATACCTGATTCGCTGACTGAAGATGATTTATTATCTTATGGTTGACAAATGTCTGTTTTGTTGAGGTTTGGAAGATGTAATAAAAATCAAATTATTTTTCAGTCTTCCAGAAAGCTTCCTCTTTCTCCCTCCTCTCCCTGCTTTCTCTCCCCTTCATCAACAGGAAAGCACGAAAAGGAAAAAAATACTCCACACAATCAGACCTGCGTCGGTGCTTTTATCCTCTCAGAGCCGCTTGGAAGTAATTGCCTGATGAAAAAAGGAAGGGAAGGAGATTACCTCTTCGAACATTTGTTTTAATCATTCAATGTGTCTTCTTCTAGCTCCGAAGAGTAAAATGTTAGGGCGGTTTTGTGAGCTGTATGTTCCTACTGTGTGTGTGTGTGTGGAATGTCTTTTTTCCCTTTAGGGCAGGAGTCTCCTCACAATTTCTAGGTTCCTGTATGATGACTGGTACAGATGGACATTTTTAGTAGGAATCGAGGGAAATTTTGCAACATGAGATTTGCATCGACTAAGCAATGCTTTGTTTCCGCTCTGGGTAGATGGTAACACCTAGGAAACGCCACCTGCCTGCTCACCGGGCAGCTCACTGGCTGTCATGTCACTCTTGGGATTCGTAGTGTTTGAAGATTCATTTTGGAGTTCTTTATGAATTAGTGTTTTCCCCCTTTTAAGGTGTTTTAAGACCGCGGTGCCTGTTCCAGTCTGAGATACACGGGAAGACAAGGAAGGGCGGTGTCACGGGAGCCGTGCTCAGTTGCTAGCGAGTCAGGCCATTTAATTACGAGGTTGACGAATTTCTGTTCTTCGTTCAAAATGATAAATGTTTTCACTGACTTTACGTATCAGCTGTGATAGTACCGATTGCGCTTTCCCGTGGAAATGAAGTATATTTTAAAAGTTTTATTTCCTTTTTGTAAAGAATGTCTTGTGCCGTTTTGCTAGACTGAACGTTTCCTCGTGGAGTGGTGCGAGCTTCCTCTAATTCAATCTTTGTCTTTTGTCTTTGCTGCCTTGCAGGGTTGGTACAGTAGGCTTCACTAGACTTAGCTGCAACTCAGAGTTTCTCCTCCAGCACCTGAGTAAATGCTGATGGTCTTGTGGAGAGTGGAGTAAGAGTACGAGCTAAGTTCTCAATTCCAATTAAGAAGCGGAGGACAATTTAAACTGTCTCCTTCCAAGTTTATCGCAGCCACCACCATCAAGACAGCAAACCAAAGGACAAAGACTTTGACCTGCTCTGTTGCTCTGTGTAGTCCGGTGCACGCGTGGTTGACAGACTTGGCTGGGTTACTGATGAGTAAATAGAAAGTCGGACACTTCTGTCATTGGACGCCTTTACTCACAAAGTGACCAAAATGAGGGCTGTTCTGGAGACAGCAGACATTGCCATAGTGGCCCTGTACTTTGTCCTGGTCATGTGCATTGGCTTTTTTGCCATGTGGAAGTCTAATAGAAGCACCGTGAGCGGATACTTCCTGGCTGGGCGCTCTATGACCTGGGTAGCGATTGGTGCCTCTCTGTTTGTGAGCAACATTGGGAGTGAGCACTTCATTGGGCTGGCAGGATCTGGAGCCGCGAGTGGATTTGCAGTGGGCGCGTGGGAGTTCAATGCCTTACTGCTTTTGCAACTGCTGGGATGGGTTTTCATCCCCATTTACATCCGGTCAGGGGTGTACACCATGCCTGAATACTTGTCCAAGCGGTTTGGTGGCCATAGGATTCAGGTCTATTTTGCAGCCTTGTCTCTGATTCTCTATATCTTCACCAAGCTCTCTGTGGATCTGTACTCAGGTGCCCTCTTTATCCAGGAGTCTTTGGGTTGGAACCTTTACGTGTCTGTCATCCTGCTTATTGGCATGACTGCGTTGCTGACCGTCACCGGAGGCCTTGTGGCGGTGATCTACACAGACACTCTGCAGGCCCTGCTCATGATCGTGGGGGCGCTCACGCTCATGGTCATCAGCATGATGGAGATTGGCGGGTTTGAGGAAGTTAAGAGGAGGTACATGTTGGCCTCACCCAACGTCACTTCCATCTTGTTGACCTACAACCTTTCCAACACCAACTCCTGTAACGTCCACCCCAAGGAAGATGCGCTGAAAATGCTGCGCAACCCCACGGATGAAGACGTTCCTTGGCCCGGGTTCGTTCTCGGGCAGACGCCGGCGTCGGTGTGGTACTGGTGCGCCGACCAGGTCATCGTGCAGAGGGTGCTGGCGGCCAAGAACATCGCGCACGCCAAAGGCTCCACGCTGATGGCTGGCTTCCTGAAGCTCCTGCCAATGTTTATCATCGTGGTCCCAGGCATGATCTCCAGGATACTGTTTGCTGACGACATCGCTTGCATCAACCCCGAGCACTGCATGCACGTGTGTGGGAGCAGAGCCGGGTGCTCCAACATCGCCTACCCACGGCTGGTGATGAAGCTGGTTCCCGTGGGCCTCCGGGGCCTGATGATGGCCGTGATGATTGCGGCACTGATGAGCGACTTGGACTCGATCTTTAACAGCGCCAGCACCATATTCACCCTCGACGTGTACAAGCTCGTCCGCAAGAGCGCCAGCTCCCGGGAGCTCATGATTGTGGGGCGCATATTTGTGGCTTTCATGGTGGTGATCAGCATCGCCTGGGTGCCGATCATCGTGGAGATGCAAGGCGGCCAGATGTACCTTTACATTCAGGAGGTGGCGGACTACCTGACGCCCCCAATCGCGGCCCTGTTCCTTCTGGCAATTTTCTGGAAGCGCTGCAATGAACAGGGGGCTTTCTATGGTGGGATGGCTGGCTTTGTCCTCGGAGTGGTCCGGTTGACACTAGCCTTTGCCTACCGGGCCCCAGAGTGTGACCAGCCTGACAACCGGCCGGGCTTCATCAAAGACATCCATTACATGTATGTGGCCACAGCGCTGTTTTGGGTCACAGGACTCGTTACTGTGATTGTCAGCCTTCTCACGCCGCCCCCCACGAAGGAGCAGATTCGTACCACCACCTTTTGGTCTAAGAAGAGCCTGGTGGTGAAGGAGAGCTGCTCCCCGAAGGACGAACCGTACAAGATGCAAGAGAAGAGCATCCTGAGATGCAGCGAGAATAGTGAGGCCGCCAACCACGTCATCCCCAACGGGAAATCCGAAGACAGCATTAAGGGCCTGCAGCCCGAAGACGTGAACCTGCTCGTGACCTGCAGGGAGGAGGGCAACCCCGCGGCTTCCCTAGGCCATTCTGAGGCGGAAACGCCGGTGGACGCCTACTCCAACGGGCAAGCGGCGCTCATGGGAGAGAAGGAGAGGAAGAAAGAGACGGAGGACGGGGGCCGCTACTGGAAGTATGTGGACTGGTTCTGTGGCTTCAAAAGTAAGAGCCTCAGCAAGAGGAGCCTCAGAGACCTGATGGAGGAGGAGGCCGTCTGTTTACAGATGCTGGAGGAGCCTCCCCGTGTTAAACTAATACTGAACATTGGACTTTTTGCTGTGTGTTCACTCGGGATTTTCATGTTTGTGTATTTCTCCTTATGAATTTTTAAGGATATGATGAAACACTAACTTAAGAAAATACTGGTCTTTGAAAGAAAAAAAAAAGACTTATGTAACTGTTGCATCTCTCAGGCATTGTTTACGCTGTAGGTTTTAGCCAAATTTTACTTAGTGGAACATCATCTATTTGCAAGACTTTATTTTCCCAGAGATGGATGAAAGTAAATTTTCAACCTAAGTGAAGCAAAACTTGTTTAACAGACTGAATTGTGCAAATGTGGTTTAAAATTTTTCATACCAAAGTAAGAGCAATTATTCTCATAGAACACTTAGAGCAGAGTATATGCTGAGATGCTCGGAAAAAGTGCCCTGTCCGCACTGCCAACTCGTGGCGGATCTTCTCGACCTGGAGCGGGGGACTGGCTGGTCTCTAAGTTTTTTCCTGTCTCTGTAATCCCTACTGCCACTTAAAAAGAACTGATTTTGTAGACATTGTATAATCAATTGTGTGCTGCAAATCTAACCGATGTGCTTGCGAGGTGCTTGTTTCGGGGCAGGTAGGCCAGGTGCCAGGTTCATGCTGTCCGCACGAGCCTGCGGACTCTGACCACCGGAGGGAAGGGAGTGTCTTTGTGCAGCCGCTCGGGCCCCGCCGGTAGACGCAGTGTTGGGGAAAAGCTTGTTCCAATTCCTTCTTTCCTGCTTTTTGAAGTTTTGCTGAACCACGCTCGAATGAGCACCATGTCTGTCTTTGTAAAAGGTACACGTCATGACTGTGTTGTTAAGTGACGGGGGGAGATGAAACGGCACTGCTGGTGGTCTTTGCACGTGCCGGCCGGGTGAAGGTTTGTCACGTGGTTTGGGTGTGAGCAGCCTCTGGGCAGTGCTGGGTCACCTTGGGCTAAGCAGGGGATTGCTCGGACTCCACTCACTCTCTGGATGTGTTCTTGTCACTTGGCAACGTTCTTTGTTGGCCAGACGCCTTCCCGAGCAGACCCCGTGCAGGGGAGGGCGTTCAGACGTCTGGGGGCAGGCGACGGGGTCTGGGCTCCGAGCTGCCCTGCTTGGTTAGCTCGTGATCTGCCGAGGCTGAGTTTTTAGGGAAAATTCCATCTGAGGTCACATTGTACCCTTGGGAAAGTTATTTTCCTTGACCTGCCTTTTCAAAAGACTTGCCTTTTGCATTTTTGCCTAAAAGGTCAAGTGACTTAGAGCATGAGGGTGTTTCGGTGCAGAGCGGCTGTCGGTAACAGGAGACGCGGTGCCCCCCTTGCCCCGGGCGGGCTGACAGACAGCGTTCCCACGGAAAGGAGAGCGTGTCCAGAGGTGCCACGAGCGGGCGCTGCTGGGCGTGGGGGCGCGCCGCGTGGAGAGCAGGGCGGTGCCCGTGGGACAGGACCCTTTGTCCTGATGTGGCTTGGTCCACGGCTGCATCCTTCGTAGTGGGGGTCACTCTCCACAGGCTGATCCCTTCATGAGGAGAGGGTGCAAGGGGGGACCCGAGTGGTCTCCGCACGCACACGGTTCCGAGTGTGCACCGCACCGTCCTTTTTCCGAGCTCCAGGACAGGTGAAGGAGACTGGCTGACTGTGTATCTACTTTCTTTGACTTTTCTGTAATCTGAGACTTTTTAAATTGCATGATTTTATTCAGCTTTTGATCTTTAGGGAAAATTACTACTTTTTAGGTACTTTTGTAGATTTTGAATCAAAACTCAGTCCTAATGACTTTAAGTTTTTTTGTATTCTATAAACCAGTTTCATTAGTTAATGATGGACTCGATTAGTCCAAAGTTGATTTAGAAATGATTGGATTGCATAATGTCTTCCCATTTCCAGGAAGCTTTCTGATGGACTGAGTCTGTAGAGAAAAAAATAATTCATGTATGACTAGCATGATTTTTGAGAGCTTAGTGTGCCTTGCAGAATTTTTTTCTCAGTTTGTAAGTTGGGGGCCAAATAAATGGGACCACCCGTTTCTCGTGTGGAGGCTGAGGCTCTGACATGCCCTGGGTCACGGGGTCTACCGGGGAGACAGATGACCAGGTGTCCGACTCCGGACTCAAGGTTGGTCCATGCTTTGTCCCTTTCTTAAGGAACTGTTCCTCCTTGGAGACAGCCTTTCAGTATTTGAGGAAATAGTGGGACCTTACATTTTCAAATTGGCGTCAGGCTGTGGGAATTGAAGTTTTCTTGGAGTGCGTTGCTGTGCACCTCAGCAGTGAGGGTTAGCGTGCTGGCTGGGCAGCCTTCTCACCCTTTTTATTTACAGCATCGATGGATCGGGGATGTGTCTGTGGGCACCCCCCTTTCCATGTTCAGAGGGTCCCCCGTCTTCTCTGTGCTCTTGTCTTGGTATGATATGTAAAATGCATCATCTTGTGTCTGTCTGTGTGTATATAGCAGTAGGTCAGGTTTAGAGTAGTAATGCCTGTAAATAAGGAATGACTATTAGCATATCCATGAGGATTGTTTATTCTTAGCAGTGCAAACATCACTTCATTTAGGCTGAGGTCCCCGGAGCTCGTCCTTATTGCTTCCCGGTAGTAGGTCCCGCGCTTGAAAGTGCGTGGCTCGCTCGGCGCAGCTTCGTGTCAGGGGCCCATCCTTCGGTCTGTGTGTCCTTAGAGTGGCCACCCATGGGTGGTACCTGCACACGGCGCGCCCTAAGCCAGCCAGACATCCGGCCTAGCGGCTCTTCAGTGATGACACGGCTCTCCAGACATTGACGTGTATATTTTTATGTTGGCTCAGGCTAAGGTTCAGAATTGGCGAAGAGTAATAGTGACCAAAACAGTTAAGAGTCCAAATGAAGTGAGGACATTGGTTTTCAAAGGTGTAGAAAGTGGTGTCGTATCTGCTGTTAGTGGTGTCCCCAGTTCTGATTTTTGTCCTCTCAGGCGATTGCTGTCTCAAGACCTGATGAGAAGCCCTTATTACCCTGGTGCGCAGGAGAAACATCGGCTCCTTCACGGGACCTCTGATCTGTCTGCTTACCTGGTGTGTGTTCCGTCCTGCCACCCCGAGACAGCCAGCAGCTTCTGCAGCACTGGGGCCAGTCTCCCTTTTCCCACGGGCTCTTCTTGTGCGGGAGGTTCTTCGTCACTCTCATCTGAGCTTAGAAAAGCATCAGGCAGAGGCCACGGTGCTGTGTCCTTTGGCCTGCATTCAGCACCTCCAGTGATTCGCAGGGACCATCCCTGAGTGCAAAGGCTGTGACTCAGTTTTCGAACCTGAGGCTAAGTGGGCCGGGGGAGGCTGCAAAGTCTTGTCTGGGGCTGTTGGTGTCTTTGTCTCTGCTTTCCTCAGCCCATTGCTTCCTTCCCTCTGCTGGGCTTGTGGGTCTGCCCTCTGTCTCCGAGTGTCCTGTGACGTGGCCTGTGGGTGAGTCTCGGTCTCTGCCACCCTCTGCACTGGCACTGTTACTACCTGTTACAGGGTTAGACCTGACAGTGCCCCCCCCCCCGGCAGAATTCTGCTTCCTTTGCTTTCCTTCTGCTTCACTGGTGTCATTTCCACCCGAGATCAGACTGGAAGGGACCACGTGGGTTTCCAGCAGCGACACCTGGCCATTCCCCAGGTTTGCGCTGAGAGATGTAGAAAGACCATTCCTGTTAGATTATGGGATTACAGAGACTTGCCAGGACAATGTTTTCCTAAGGGATCAGAAAAACTGTCAGGCGAGATGCTGAGAAGCACCTGGGCGGTACAGAGTCAACAAGTGGGTAAAGCACGCATGCGCAGATGTAGAATTGCGCTCCTGAGCTCCGGAACTGGAAGAAGCGTCTTGGCTCTCAGCTGCTGTGCACCCCGCCCCAGGAGATGAGGGCACTAGTGAGTAAGATCCAGCCTGTTACACTCTGGTGTGGCATTCAGTATTGTAAAGTATGAGTTTATTAACATATTTGAGGTATTAAAATGGCTGATAATTTGAAGTGATATTTTAGTAGGAAAATGCTGTTAGGCTTCACTATTCATAAGATTTCTTATTAGCTGGGTGTTACATTGCTTAAGTCATTTCAATGTTAACATTAGCCTGAGTAGACTTTGCTAATGAGGGTGTATTTCTGTCCGCGTGCGTACCCACTACCGTTTAGAGACTGGTCTTCCCCTTCACGTCTCCCCTTCGCGGCACCCCAGGTCTTCACCCGTTCTCTCGGCGTTCACCAGACCCCTGTTCTGGTCTTCCGCCAGCCCAGTTCACGGTCAGGCTCACTGCTGTAGTGTGCGCCAGGGCTGCCAAGCCCCTGGTGAGGAACCTTGTGTCCAGATGATGATGTGTTACTTATAGACGTGTTGAACTAATACCAAAGCTCTATTAGCTTGAACTGTTACTCTCAAAAATAATTTTCTCACTTTGTGTTTACCGGCAGTAAAAGCCCTGATTCAGTATGTTTTCTCTCAGCACTCCTTTCAAAAACACTAGGGAGACGGTAGTGGAAGCTCGGGAGTCCCCCTGAAGTGATGGCACTGCAGTGCAGAGAGGAAGGGAGTCCTGATGCCAGAAAGCCTCATTCTCGTCGTGATGAAAGGGGGAAAGTCGGGCCGAACAGGCGGCATGTCGAGAAACCCTCTGTGCTGGTTGGGCGCGGAGCTGGGTCCCACAGGACGTGGCCTCTTGATCTTTACACCTGGCTAGACGTGGTCGGCACTTCAGGGCTGCAGACCCTTTTCCTGCATTAAGGCCGCTTCTGTTCATTGGGGGTGGTTTTCGTCTAGCTCTCCCCTCTGTTAGAAGGCTACATGTTCAGCTGCTTTGACTCCTAGAACACAATTTAGCTAAGGGCACAGTAATTGTGGGCGTGGCCGGGGCTGGGTCCCACACTGCTCCTCACCTAGTCCAGTCATGAAAAGATTTCCATTTAAACTGCCCCCTCCGGTGCTGGGAGTAAGCCTTCACTGATTCACCTTTAACGGGATGTCTGTCCTGAGAATTGGTGTTAAGTTTCTGTTTCCATCTCAAATCCTTTATAAAAGCTAAGTTTCAGTTTGTTTTGTTTTGGGTTAGGTACCCCATTTACATGGTAATTAACGGCCTTAACCTTTGGCATATAGTCTTTTATCCAGAAGTAAACAAAACGTTTGGTGGATCTGTATCTTTACTCATTTCGTGAACTTGACTTTCTAGGGGAGTACCATAATCTGAAGCTGTTGTCCTAAAGCATCACCCTTGCTGTATGGAATGGCTTTGTAAGTTCCGTTTGGTTACTTGGATACACAGCATGTTTGCAGAGGGGGATGCGAGAATAAATAAAGCAACTGAAGAGTAGGTCAAGACAAAGCACACTGGTCTCAGATCCCCCCTCGTGCAGCAGCTCAGAAAGCTCTGTACAGTGATTGTTGCTTGTGATCACGCCGCACCAGTTCAAGCCGCACCAGTTCAAGACGTTCGGTAGTCAGAGAGCTCTGTTACAAGGGAAATGTACGTTTCCGTGTATTTGGCAATAGCACAAGTTGACAGTGGACAGCCATAACCTCACTGGAGGCTTGCGTTTCTCTGTCTTGGTAAACTCACCTTGACCCTGGCGCTGTGGAGTGCTTCATTTTTGTTTGACTCTGGACTGACTAGTCTGGATAATTCTTCAATGTATCAGTGTAGCCTAGACATTTTAAATGGAATGTTCCCTGATAACTCACTTGTCCTGATGGTTGGAAACTTACACGAAGCTCATTGCTGTTACTGAAATCCCAGATGGCTAAGGCCAATGACCAGGGGTTCCCTCCTCAGCATCCGAAAGTCCTGTGTCTGACTAGTGCCTTCCGGTTGCCGACATTGACTCTGCTGGTTTACACCTTTCCCTTCTTGGTTGAAAATTGCTACAGGTTTTCTTTTTAAATTTTGTTACAGCTTGTGAAGGAAGTAAAGGACCTTTATATTTGCTTACTTTATATGCAGCCTGTATTTTTAGGTTCAAAGAAACCAGGTAGCTTAGTTGGTGTCGCAGCTTAAGTGTTATTTATATGTATTTGTTTAATTAAAAAATAAAGTTACTTATATTAATTCTGTGAGTATATTTTAACTGTATTGTTTTCCAGTGTAGCTTTGATAGGTGCATCTGAGAACTTGTATGTAACAAGGTTCACATTCCGCAACAGGGCAAAGGCTTGAGATCCGTAGAAAGCACAAAACCCTGCCCCCGCCCCCCCCCCCATGTGTCTCCACGTGTAGAAAGCACAAGAGCAGCAGTGTTCTCGGCGTCCCGCAAGTGCACAGCCAGTGCCGGGCGGGCAGGACAGTGAGGGGTCTCGGTGCGGTCCTAAGCGGTAGTAGTTCAGTCTAATTGTTTGGATGAGTTTGTGTTTCTCTGGTGGAGGGAGACGTGTGAGTGTCAGGAATGCTGCTGTTGGTTATATTTGGGGATCACTCGCTAACGTGGGTGGTGTGGGCTCTGCCCTACAGTCTGGAAGTAAAGAGCCCCGGACAGACTCGTAGGTTTTGCGGGGACAGTTTGAGAAACTTGTGCTGTAGATGGTTTGCTTTTTTAATCTTAAATTTTTAGGATGTTCAACCTCCCGTCAATAATGTCCTGAAAACATGGAGAAATTTCATATTTTAAGAGGGCAGGTGCTACTTGGTGTTCAATAATCTGTATTGGTTTGTAAGTAAGAGATGAAGTTATCTTCTGTGTATGCCTGACTGCATTTCACAATGATAGAGCAGGATTTGACCCCGGGTGTCCTGAGCGGCAAACTAATTCCGAGACAAATCTGCCGATTGAACTATGCTGGTTTTCACAGTGGTTCTAAGAGTCTAAGGGTGCTGTTGCCTGTCCCACCACCTGCTTCCAGACTAGATTGATCTGTGAATGAGGGAGCAGACGATGACAATGGTGTGTTTTGTTCTGCTCAGCGTTGCCCTTATCTTACCCCGAACCTTCTCCACCCGCATAGTCCCTGGTTGTCGTGAATGAAGAAATATGTCCTTGTCTTGGGTTTTGCTGGTGTGTCAAAAGATAAAACTCTCAGGATGGGAGAGAAGTAACTACCTTTGTCCCCACTCTGTCTTGTGTGTTTGTCTTCTCGGGGAAACTTGGTCAGCTCCAACCACGCGGAAGGATGGAGGGACGGCTGAGCTGGCACACACTAATGGGGCAGGTTGTGCAACAGCCAACCTGACCCGGCGGGGGGCGGGGGCTCGGGCTCCTCTCCAGCAGTGCCGGTGTGTACCTGCAGCCCGAGGTAGGAGTGGAAGACCCCAGGCTTGGGGCCGAGGGAGAGGAGTGCCAGAGACGCAGGCCGGCGGAGGGGTGTGAAGACCACCTTGGGCCTAGCACTACGTGACCAGGCAGAGCAGTCAGAACCTGCCCGTCCCGGGGCCTGTGTGTTCTGTGCCTGTACGTGTTTTAAGTCTAAACATTTGTAAGAACGTCATGCTTCTCAAGCTTCTTCTGTTAGAATGTCTTTTGTTAATAGTTCCATGGAAAATTGCTTTAATTAGTCTAGGTGAAGCAGTCCTAGCGGTGTAAATATGTATAATTAGAATTTTCTGATTTCACTGTGAGATCTCTAACTTTTGAGTGGCAAACAGATCAACAAGTCTTTGCTCATGGATTTTTCTGTGGGGTTGTTAAAATACAAAAGCTTTATTTTTTTTAATAAGGACATATTACTTTAGTGTCAGATGGTGGTATGGAATCTGTTCCCCGCTTCCCCCTCCAGTAGCGCAGCTGCAGTTTGTGGACTGCCGACAGAGCCCCGGAGCAGAGCAGGCGGCGCCGTTCTTCGCTGGGGCGTCCGTGTTCCATGGGCGGCCCCCCCAGGCTGTGGCGGGCTCCTCCCTGCTCTTCGGTTTGTTTGGCTAGGTGGGTAGCAGAACTAGTTGCTGTGCAAAAGTTAGTAGTCTTCTTCAGGAAGAAAGCCAGTTCCTTTTAAAATATCCTGTGAGATTGCTTCCTTCATTTCTTTATTTTTAAGCCAAATGTCAGCAGAGTACTGCTGCTTTTATCTAGTAATTTTGATATGTAAGTATTAATGCATTTAAAAATGTCTACATTGAAAAATGTTTTTTCAGCGTCCTGCCTGTTGTGCTTTATTTGGATTTTCTGTTAAAAGACCAGTCTGTGCACTGGGGGAGTGTCGTGTGTGTGGTGTGCGTTACCATTTCATCAGTGACACGTCGTGGATCGGGTGTGGTTGGTTGTACGTGAAGTTGCTGAGTTCCCAGTGAGTGTTCCGAGTTGTTCATTGCTTTCCGGCGTACCCTTCATTGTCTGCGGCTTTTTCATTTTTATTTCTTAAGGTGTAACTAGTTGGGTCCATCTCATACTATGTTTTAGTTGCAAGCAGAAAGTAGAACTTGCTATAAACCAGGTTGCTTCCATGTTGAAAGGAATACAATTGAAATTGTAGATTTAGGATGGTTAACCATATATGACAATTCTAACTTGACTATTCTAACCTACTGTATACAATCTGATTTTTAAAATTGTAGACATGTATGATCTTGGTTTTAATATTTCTAAAAGTGTTAATTGTTTTTAAAAATGAGAAAGAAGCAAATCTGCTAGAGAGCTGTTGGTCTCCATCACTGACGCTGTAAAATACACTGTCGTTTGTGTGTGCTGTGTGTTGTTTGCCAGCTGCTGCATCGGCCTTCAAAAGTATTTGGAAATTTAAGATGAACTGCATTTCTTGCAAAGTATATTCCTTTCTGTGGTATTTTTGTCCTGTAACTGAAGTATAGTAATTATTTTATGGAAATGTTAGCACTTATGTACCAACTTTGAATAAAATGAAAAATTTACATCTCTGTGGCTGAGTATTTTCAGTACGAACACGTTTGCCGTCATTGTACAACGTCCTGTGTCTCAGACGAAGGGGCCGTGCCTCAGCTCTTTTCCCCTGGCTCCTGAGTGGCTCCAGCGAGTGTTCCCCGCTGGCCACCGCTGTCGTCGGCCTCTGCAAACAAGGACTCACAGGGGTCAACTGAGAATGAAGTTGTATGTAACTCACCAAGTGAAAAAAATGCTCTTGTCGTAAGAACAGTATGAAAAGCCCAGAAACTGTCATCCCGGTGCACCAGTAGTGCGCATCCCGCCACATGGCTTTGTCCTTCTCTCCATCGTGCACGCTTCTCGGAACCACGGGAGTGTAAGTACGCTGCAGACATCATTCCAGTCCACCCACCGAGTGCTCGGGGGTGTGTTTCCTAAGGACGGCCACCTGTCTGGTCACGGTGTGATTAATCAGTGTCTGGGAAGGGGCAGTGACACGGTCCTCTGTATGAGGGGTGTCACACTCATTTTCCCCGGGGGCCACATCAGCCTTGGGTTGCCTTCAAAGGGCCGAATGTCATTTTAGGACTGTGTCAATGTAACTGCCCTTAACAGTTAAGCGAGAGCTCGGCACTGCCGCCAGGTAGAAACAAGGTGCCAGGCCGGATAAAACAAGGGGGAGGGCTGGATTCGGCCCGGAGGCCTTGCGCTTGCCCCCTGTGCTCTACATGTGGACGGTACATGTTTGACTCTGTACGGTACGTGGACACTCCCCACCAGAACATCTTTACTGTGAAATTGAACGTGTGCACTCAGGCCTCGGAACACTGACGTCTGCAGTGTGGAGAATGGGGGTGATGGCCATCGTCTGCGGTATGTCCCCTTGGGGAGATCGTGGTTTCGCTCCCTGTAAGCCTCTCGCTGGTCACTGTGTTTTGTCAGCTGGTCAGCGCACAGCCTTGTTGTGTGTTTCTGTTTAAAACCATCCTATATAACACACTCTTCATGGGAAACACGGAGCTCAGGCCAGTAGCACGCTAGCCCATGCCTGCACGAAGCCTGCCTCACACGTGCTGTCCCTGTAAAGCACATCACAGCCTCCTTGCAGGTAGGGACACCGGACAGCACTTGAGTACCACACTCGGGCCACGTCACACACAGCCCAGCATGTGAGAGCGTGGCACCGCGAGGGCCACGGAGAGGACCCTTGTGTAAGGTGTGGCGGGGTGGGGGGGGCACTGAGATGGGAAGGCAGAGCGCCAGCTGTTGGACCTCGGCTGAAACGAACGCAGGTGTCGGGGCCGGAATTTTCTGCAGCTTTGTGCTCACGGGCGTCTGCAGGAGGCTGCACATGCCGTGGGGGCATCGGTGGGGTTCCCAGCAAGTTTCAGCCAGCAGGCTCATTGGCAGGTATGGCCCCCACACATACAAGTAGCTCAGATTTGTGAGGCGAGCATCCATGTAACCGTCAGCCCCTCGCCCACGAGGTTCATTCCACTGGAACACAGTCCGGATTTTTGAGGGTTTTCTTATTGTCACCAAACCTGCCTCTGACTTCTCATTCCATAGTCCTGAGTTCTGCCTCTGTAGTATCTTCCATTTGTGTGTTTGAAGTTAAATATTCAGGACAAATATATAAAGCCTCAAAATTCAGCATAACTCTGTTATCTAGCATGAGCAGCAAAAGGCATAGATTTCAGACCCTTTGCCATCTGGGTCTTTTGGGGACTTTGGACAATTCTGAGGTAACTGATGTCCCCTTTTGTGCGTGGCCTCTGCATACTGTAGCACTCCAGGGTGGGCTGTGGGGATGAGAGATCAGTCAAACACAGCAAGGGCCGCCGCGCCTTCGGCCTCACTCTCCTGATTCTAGCGTGGGAGTTCATTGTCACGGCCTGTGGCAGATCCTCTTCCAAGCCCTGCTGTCTGCATGGCCCTTGCTGACTCAGTTTCCAGAGGTTTTCATAGCTTTTCCAGTCTGGGTTTCATTGTTGTAATATTCCCTGTATTCTCTAGAAGTTGAACACTGTTTTGTTTTTGTTTTTGTTTTTTTAATTATTACAGGCCAAAGCTCCTCAGAAGTATAAATGAGTCTCCACTGTATCTTTTCATTTCTACCTTTTACCTGTTTACTCCTGGCACTAATAGCATGTCTGCTTTTGACAGGCTGTGCATTAGCTTCATTCTGCATCTCCACCTGTCCCCTCATCCCTGAGTTGCTGTTCTCTTTGCAATGAAGAGCTTCTTGAATTTCATGACTTGGTTTAATCCGATATTTCCTGCCGCTGGAATTAAGTACAGTTAGCAACTTTCATGTCTCAGAGATCTTCCCATTTATTCTTTGACTTAATGTACTCATCAAACATTAGTTGAACCCACTGCGTGCCAGGTTCTTTGCATGTCTAGCCTCTAGTCAAGATGAGTAAGATTGTGCCTTGAGGAGCTTGGTTAGGGAAGGTGGTGTGCTTCTGAACAATGACACTTGCATGACGTCACGTGTAATTCAAGATGCATGTGGGATTACAGAGAGGCACACTGGTGGGAGGTAGCTGAACCTTACCAGGTTTGATTCCTCTGGTCCCTCTGCTTGTATCCCCTCCTCCTCCCTGCCCTTAAGGCGCACCATCCTCCTCCCAGCCCTTGAATTAAGTAGCGTGCAGTGGCCTGGTGGGGGGATACCCTTTTGGTCTGCATTCAACAGTGTATGCAAATCTGACTCTCCACAGCCCAAGGTTCTGGTTCTGATGGTGCATATTTTAAAAAAATTACTCTCACTCAACAAATTGACGTTTTTGCTAAACCCACGCACTGATGCTTAGAAGACTTACCAGATCTAAACAGAATTTTCTTAACAACACTTTGGTCTCTACCATCAAAGTCCTCTGCCGAGTCTTCCTCTCTCTCTCCTGGTCTCCCTGTCCTTCCAGGGTGGCCTCCCGCTCCCTGAGGAGGCTGAAATATCAGGCGCAGGCAGGGAACTGAATTGTGCATGAGGGAGAGCAGTCAGCAAGACAGGTAGCTCGCCGATGGCCACCTGACTCCTGCTCTCGCTATCCGTTTCATGAGCTTTGGCATTTCATGTACCTGCTGCCATAGTAACCAGGACTCCTGCCAATCTTTCTGTTTCCCATCTTCTTTTATTCATCTGTATGTGCATCTGGAGGGAGCTGGGAGGGTAGGAATGGAGCGCTCCCAGAAAGAGGATGGTGGATTTTGGGATGCCCTCCAAACAGGACGCTGGGCGTTGTTTCCAGCTGTGGGAGCAGCATGAAGCACAAGCAGTCAGTCCCTTGCCGGGATTGTCGTTTCTCTGTTTCACGTTTGGGGAGGGCTCCGTCATTTCTGTGAGCAAAGCGGTGTTTTTATGATCCTTGAATTAGAGGAGATCGCTGAGCACCCTTTATAACGTGCAGTTCAGCCAGCATCATGTGCCTTTGGGGTGATGAGAAGCCAGGCAGCTTCCTACCAGAATGTGGTTCTCGCCTTTGTTTGCACCTGCGGCACTTTAAGAAGTTGTAGTGCCCAGGGCTTTGGAGTCCCCAGGCCAGCTGAGCAGGAGCTCTGAGGGGAGACGCTGCCAGACGGTGCCGGGTGCTCTAGAGGAGCACCTGGTGGCCTTGACCTTCACTCACCAGGTCAGGAAAGGGTGGGCCAGGGAGCTCCCCAGCCTGACCTTAGACGACGTCCGAATGACACTGTCGTCTGAATAATACTGTTTGACTTGGGACCTCAGATACAAGTGGGTCAGTTAAGAAACAAAACTGTGTTATGAACTACACAGATTTACTGTTAACCTAGGCACCTAGTAACTGACACCTGGTGGGTTCATGCAAAGTTGTATCTCTTGTAATCCAGACTTCCTCCTTATTCTGTGGGTTAGTGCTTTAGATTTATTTGTTCATAGCTTTTCCTTACCAATGCTGGTATTGACACCTGAGCGTGTACTGGCTGGAAGGGTCCCTCGGATGCCACTGCATTTAGGGTGAAGGTGCGCCCAGGCTACGCCTTAAAGGCAGGCAGCCTGCTTTGCAGCTGAAGTTACTCCACCGCCGTCTACTGCCCTCCCAGTGGCAAGTCCAGCCACACCGCGGGTTCTGTTGGGTTGTTTGTGCTTTGTTGTTGCCATGGCGTCGCTCCGCGCTGGACTCAGCAGTCATTGGACTCTCGCTCCTCCGCCTTCTTTTCTCTTCCAGACTTCTCTGGGCTCCTCGTCTTCTTCACTGACCTTCAAGGACACGTTCCAATGTCATATTTCCCAGGTCTCAGAAATCTCCCTTGTGGGCACTTGGCCTGCTCTTGTTTTTCTCGTGGCCTTGGCTTCATCGGTCTGCCCTGACTCCAGGACCAGTGGTTTCTGGGCTCCTGACCCACAGAGTCCAGTTTTCCCCCGGCGCCCGAGAGCGCAGCAGCTGCAGCGGCCCGGGGTGCTGGAGCGCGACCGCGGGCTCCCGGGGAACCACTGGCCGGTTGCCACCGATGGGGCTGCGGAGCCGGTGGACGCGCTCCAGACGCCGAGGCAGCGCGTCGGCGCCGGGACCCCGCGGTCCCGGGCTGTGGCACCGACCGTGAGGGAGCGGCGGCACGGGCTGCGGGAAGAAGTTGTCCTTAAACTCCACTCGCCCCTAGACGCGCTCGTGTCTGAAACACCTCCCCGCGGCTCACTGCGAGATGGAGGGGAGAGCAGGACAAGGGGAGGAAGGGTGCTGCCTGGGGGGAGCTGGAACCGGTTTGCCGCGCGCTCGCGGGTGTACACGTCCTTTTTTCCCTTGGGGAAAAACCTGCAGCATGCTGATTTCCTTTTTTTTTAAGGTTTTATTTATTTTTAGAGGGGGGAAGGGAGGGAGAAAGAGGGAGAGAAACATCAGTGTGTGGTTGCCTCTTGCACGCGCCGCCGCACCAGGGACCTGGCCCGCAGCCCAGGCGTGTGCCCGGACTGGGAATCGAACCGGCGACCCTGTGGGCCACAGGCCGGCGCTCAGTCCCCTGAGGCACTGCAGCCGGGGCTGATCCTTTACCACAGTATTTTCGT